CAGCAGCGCTCCGCCATCCTGGACCACGTGTACTTCACCGTCGCCCAGGACCCTGAGCACACACTCAGCGTGAAAACGGCCCCCCCTCAGACCCAGCAAGACTCCCAGGGCTCCCCCCCTCAGATCCACATGGTCTCGGCGAGTGAAGTGTTCCCAGGGGCGCCAGTGCTGGGCGGCCTACTCCAGGCCTCTTCGATGGCTCCAACATCGGCTGCAAGATTTTCGACGCTGCATCCAGAATGAGAATCTCCCGGATATTCGGGGCACCCTGGACAGTCTGGAAGACAGCCCTGAAAGGTTTAACACCTCTCCCGCCCTTGCTCAAGGGCTGCAGCAAGTTCGCGTTGCCGCTGGGCTGTTGCGCGAAGATCTACAAACGCAGAGGCTCAACGCAGAGCCGGGCGCCGCGATTTTAGATGAGCTGCTCGAGCAAGTCTGCAAGATCATCGGTGCTGAATGTCGCCGAGCGCAATTAGGACGGGCAGGGGTGGAGGAATTGGGCGCAGTCTGCCACGAAAGGAGGTATGGGATGGGCGCGCAGGTGGACGAAGAAGCTAGAAGCTTGGAAGCCTGTTTCGGTTGTGCATCGCAAGCGGTTGTCTGAACGCCCGCAGCACATCCTCCAGGTCGAGGCCGACCGACTCGCCAAGATTTGGGATGTTCACACCGGGGCTCCCCCCCCACAAGGGGGCGCCCCAGACCGACGACAGGGTGGCCCTTGGACCCGTCGCCCCAGCTCGAAGGTATCCGGAAGCTTTCTCCACGCAATACGGCCTCAACTTGGGACGGGGTGCGCCCCCGCCACTTCGCCGTGCTCGATGGCGAGCAAGCCGGGCGATTTTGTAAGATGATTGGGCTTATCGGGCAGATTGCACACATGCCATCGCAACTGCAGGGTGCTATATCTACGCTCATGCTCAAACATGATGATGTTAATGCCAAGCGCGCCTTTCGGTCGATTGGCATGCCCCCTGCTCGCGAACGTGTCTGGGCCCGACTGCGGAGATCAGCAGCCCGAGAGTGGGACTTTCACCACAGACGACCATATATTGCACATCAGGCGGGGCATTCAATCGTGGAGCTTGTATATGCGCAACCACTTGAACGTGAATATCACGCGTGTCAAGAAGAACCCCAACATTCCGCTCAAGTGTTATGGGACCTCTCTAACGATTACGAGCATAGAGATCGAGAGTGACTTGCCCAGCGCGATGTCGCCTCTGGTTTCCCGTGCTGTTTGCCCCGCATGATTCTATCCGAAGATGGAAGTACTCATTTCGCTGCTATGCAGGATGTGTGTGTGCGCTAATGTCGGCAAAGCGTGGATGGGGTTTGATTGCAGGGTGCGGGTGGGCGACGTATCTTGTGCAAATGTATGTTATTGCTCCCCTCGACCAGTGGGCAGCCACGCGCAGCGACATTCGCCTCGCGATGCTTATCGGCGATGTATTGCTGCAGCGCCATGCTAGGAGCTATGAAGTAGTGACCGGTCAAATGAATTCGGCAGCTCGGTCGCCAGCCAGATGCATCAGGCACGAGCTGAAATGCCAGATCGCTACCAAGAAGAGCCAGGTTTAGCCTCCAGCCAGGACGTCTAAAACAAATTTCGGAAGACCCTCGGGGCGCTCGCTGGGCCCCCTACGGACATCTCAGGACCCAACCTCGGTATGGGAAGCGGAACTGGACGGCCCCAAAGGCGTCGGCGAAACGGACGAAAACCCGCGGACCGCAATAACAAAATCAGAAAACCATGGCCCGTATCAAACTGATTAAGCATGCTGGAGGAAACGGTAAGAAGTTGCACAAGACTGGCCTCGCCTCGGCCACCACGTTTGGAGTTGAGGTCACGGGCATCAACAACATGATGTTCGCGCAGGCCCAAACTCAATCCTTATCTGCAGTAAGTCCTAGGTGTGCCTCGGGGAGCAGTGCTCTCTCGCTCCTCATCCTCCAGGACCCCCTGTGGACAGCGGGCCTCGGGCCCGCGCTTATGTGGCACCGTCTTGCCTGGGAGGCCAACGCCCGCCCCGATGCGGCCGTGGCCAGCCTCCAACAGATCAGCATCTGGGGAGAAGCGGTTTTGCCGCGGGTTTCTAAAACTTGGGGCCCCTGTAAGGGCCCCCAACAGCGCGGCGGCCCTCTCGTTGGCCAGGGTGGGGTGGTCGTCACAGGGTCCCTTCCGTTTTGTGATTCCTACGGGCCTTGCGTGCCCCCCTCCCAGGAACTTCCGCGGCCTACATTGCCAATCAGCTCGAGGTCGCCTGGCACGACGAGTTAGCGGTGCAGGCTGCCACCAAGATGGGGCATCATGACGAGCAGCTTGATGTTTCAAACCGTCGCGCCATCTTCAGCTCAGTCGAGCTTGCCAAGCAGCAGCGCGGCGCGCTGCTGGCCATCGTCACCCAGCATCTGGACCAAGCAGCGCGCACTTTCAGCGGGATAAGATGCGCCCCAAGGTTGCCCATGCGGAGACCACAAACATGACCTCCAACGTCGCCTCCTCGAGTGCCCCAAGACAGCCCAGGCCAGAGAAGAGTTCACTGGTGGGGAGCTTCGTAGGTTGAAAAACCCGATTCCGGACACCTCCCCGCTCCATCTTGGGTTTGAGTTTACGCCCAACTTTGTGCCCCCCCCCCCCCCCCCCCCCCTGGCTGGCACTGGCCTGGAGGCCGCGAAGTTTTGGTGTCGAGACCCCAACTTAAGGCCTGCGGAAGCGCTTTGGCAATTGCACGAGTCACGACCACTATAACTTCAATGCTGCTGGGTTTGCCGCAGCGTGCATGGTGGATGGAGAAGAGCTCGTCACCTTCTATGGCCGCGTCGGGCCCCCGGGGGCCCAGACCTCGGGGGCCGCTGAGTACTTCGCCGCGGCGGCGGCAAGCAGGCTCTCGCCTCGCGTTAACAAGATTTACTATGATTATAAAAGGGTGTGTCAGGTGCGCGGCGAGGCTGGATGCACTCGCCGCAACCAGTGGTCAGGTTGTAAAGTGCTCGCGGGCGGAAGCTATTCTGACCTCGGCCCTGGACTCCAGAAAGTCCAAGCTCGCTAGAATCTGGAGTTGCTTCCCCCCGACAGCGACGAATGCCGTTTAGCTAGCGGCCACGGTGCCGCAGATAGGATTGCCAAGGCCACGAACCTTGGCAGTCAACCTAGTCTCGACGAAGTAGAGCAGCGTCAGAAAGACACTGCTCTGCTGAAGGAATACCTTCGATCTGAACCCAAAGCCCTTGGGGAATGGCCCGCTATAGCCCCTCGTCGCAGCAAGGCGCTGGCCAAGCCCGTGAAGAGCCTCTCTCCTCCCTCGGGGGCTGCCTCGGCCTTGGCCTCCTGGGGCCCTGGGGCCCCGCCCCCCGTTCCTCCTCCCCCTCCTCCTCCTGTGGCCCCTCGCGAGACTCTGAGGGCCCACGCCTGGGCGATAGTGAATGGCCAGCGCCGGTGTACGATCTGCCGCACCCGCGTCCGCACGTTCAAAGCATATGAAGAGCGATGCATTGCAATGGATTGCCCTGGACACTGCCCCAAGATGTCGAGCCTGGCCTCCAACCAACCCCACGGGGCATACTTTGTTCTATTACGAGCACATCGAACAGCCAACAAGTTTTTGGCGTGCCACAAGTGTGGTTCCTTTAAGGAGGGCAACTCTGGAGGTTTGTCTGGTGATTAAAAGTTGAGACCGCCCCATAATGGGGCTAAGCTGCAGCTGCAGAGAGCACTGTCTGGCCGCCACCCCAAGAGTGCCGCCGCCAACCCGATTGTGCTCAGTCTCCCTCCCGTGCCGCTGGCACAGCTGCTCAGGGAGGCAGCTCAAGCCCAGGCGCAGACAGGCCCACACCAGGGATGAAGCCTGCCCACCGTCCTGGCGTTTTCTACACCAGGGGTGGGCAGTTGCGAGTCGTCCTGGCGTCGCCTCACTCTCTGTGTATATGTGCGTGTGTGCGAGCGCGCTCACCGCACGCGTGTCAGGCACCCCGACTCAGGGGGAAGGAGCGCTCACTTCTTTCTTCTGCGGCATTGGCTGCAATTACGTCTTGGTCCGATGCAGGTTCGATCTGGGGTTTCGTATCTCGCTCCGACTGGCGGTGCTGGTGTCCCGCAGCCAGCCCTTGTACCCGAGCTTTGGGGTACCGACAGACACGCGAGGCATGCCGTCCTTTTCGCTGCAGAGTGCTGTTTGGCGCAACCTCTTTGCTGGGCACGGGGGTGGACTTTGGGCTCCCTTGCCCACCATGGCTGCTGCCCAGATCCACCTTCCCACCTCCCCGCCACAGGTGGCGGACGAACGGGATTGTGGCCAAGTGTGCAACGCCACATCTGGGCCCAACTGAGTACTGTGCGTGTGTGCGTGCGTGTGTGGTCCTGCACGCGTGTCAGGCACCCCGCCTCAGGGGGATGGAGCGCTGCACACTCTTCTGCGCCCAGGGCTGCAGTTTGCCTCAGCCCACAGCTGTCTCCTGGGGTCAGAGCTTCTTTCCTGGACTGACGGTGCTGGTTACGCAGCCAGCCCTAGTACCCGAGCTTTGGGATTCCGTCAGCCAGGCGACAACCCCACGGGGGCCTCTGAGCACGGGGGTGGACTTCGGTTGCCAGTCCGCCCCGACAGTGGCTCTGCCCCTTTCCCCACCCCCCACGATCGTGGGCGGTGGCGGTACGGTGCTGCTGATGCCTGGTGTGCAAGGCCTCACCAGGCCCCAGCACCGCATTCAGCGTCGGCAGCGCACTGCCGTCTCAGCGGCACCCATGGCCGCTGTGGAGAACAACTGGTGGCCCAGTGCCACGAGGTTTCGGGTTAGGGTCGGGTCGGCCAACCCTTCGCCTCCCCATTAGCCAAGTGATGGTCCTCCTCCTCCTCCTCCTCCTCCTCCTCCTCCTCCTCCTCTCCCTCCCTCTCTGACTCCTCCTCCTCCTCCTCCTCCCCCTCCTCCTCTTCCTCCTCCTCCTCCTCCTCGTCCTCCTCCTCCTGGTCCTCCTCCTCTTCTTTCTGCCGCTTGACGACCGCCGCTTCCCGAGAAGCGTCCTCCGGGCCGCAGCTGGTGTGCGGCGTGGGGCCCCAGCAGGAGTCCGCGGAGTAGGTGGCAGGACGCCAGCCTGCGGCGGCGCATGGCGGTGCCCCCTCCTCCTCGAACGGCGGAGGAGGGGGGGAAGGGGGGGGTGCGAACGTAGGGGAACGAAGACTGACCTAAACGTTATAACTCGGAGGTCCGCGCGGACCTCAGAGATTTTATATTTCTGACATTTTTCGTTCCCCTCGAAAGGGAGGAGAGTGGCGAGTGGTAAGGAGGAGGAAAGAGGAATGAATGAATGACTGCCCTTCGTAGTTCAATCTCTCTGCTGGTTGGCTGCGCACTACGATGTGTATCATAACATCGAGCGGAAGTATGGAGGAGGGGGGAAGATGAGGGTGGGGGGTTGGGGGAGTGGAGGGGGAGGGTGGGTGGGGATGGAGATGGGGAGGAGGAAGAGAGGCGAAAAGGGGGGTAGGAGGATGAGGAGGGTGAGGAGGATTGGGGGAATGGGACCATCCAGGAGGCCTAGAATCACACACAAGGAACCCATGCTCTAGCGTCAAAACAATGGCTCGTGACCCACTCTCTGGCCTCACACTGTGCCGCGTGCCGCGTGCCGTGTGCCAGGCCATGCGGAATCCTGCAAGATCCTGAGCCCAGGCCCGGGTCAATGCGAATGATCCTGCAGGATCCTGCACCCAAGCCTGGGTCCATGCGACTCTGGCCCCGCAGGATCCTGCGAGATCGGGCGCCCTGGCTGACCCCCGCTTGCATTGACCCCCGCCTCGAGGCTCCCGCTCTCTGTCTTCGCCCTGCGCCGCGCGCCGCGTGCCAGGCCGAGAGCCGCGCCCCGCGCCGCGCGCCGCGCCGCGCCTCGCGCCGTGCCTCGCGCTGCACTCGCTCCCCTCGGGGGCCTGCCGGCCCGGGCCCATCCAGACCGTAACGCCATTGTGGCTCAAATCGCACAATGGCTCGAAAGCGCCAAAGAAGCGAGGCTACCCACGGGCTAACGCAGAGTCCCGTGCGAGCGGGCCTTTTGGCCACAAAGTGCTCGTGCTTTAGCAGAAAGAGGAAAACATCGACATCGTCATCGTCATCACCGTCATCGACCTGGGCCAGGCAGGCATTGCAGGATCCTGCAGGATCCAAGCGAAGGATGAGGTACACGCGTCATAGGAGGTAGCACTGCATGTGCGGCGATGTCGCCGCGTGCCAGGGGAATGTCCCTCCTGCACTCGAGCCAGGGTCAGTGCACCCCTGGCCCTGCAGGATCCTGCAAGCTCCAGCGCTTTTGAGCGTCGTTTAACCGATCCCCATCCCCACCAGCGTGGGCTGGGCCCCACTGGCCGATTCACCCCCCTGATGGGATTATAGGCTGCTCCCTTCGGGTATCGAGGGGCATATCAACAACTGTGGTCAGACGGTGAGGCTCGAGATGCGGATGGGGATGGGGATGGGGATGGGGATCGGTGAATTACACGATACTGAGCTCTGACCGACCCCCGCATGCGTGGGACCCCGCCTCTGGAGCCCCGCTTCCCTCGGGTTGACCCAAAAGGGGGTCCAGCGACAAGGGGTGGTGCAATAGATTTGGTGCACTAGATTTGTGGGGGTTGCAATACATCGGGGGCGTGCAACAAATTCCGGGGCGCAAATGTATTGCTGGAATGTCGCGTACAATACATCACTTGCGATAAAATGCCATACAATTCTCCGGCGCAGAATACATTTGTGATATAGTTGCCCCAAATCTATGGTTATGTCGGGCGTGTCTCCCTACAGGGGGATTTTCGACGAAAAATTAAAAATACCCCAACATGCCCCCAAAAGGCAAAAAATACTTCAAAAATAGTCCCTAGACTATTCTTGGACTATTTTTGTTAGCATTTTGGCGGTATTTTTTATTTTTCGTCGAAAATCCCCCTGTAGGGGGACAGGCCCGACTTAAATCTATGGCACCACCCCCTTGCAGCTGGACCCCCTCTTGGGCCGGCCAGAGATTCCCCTCGCAGCCCTGCCTGCCTGCGGCAGCCGGAGCCCGGGTGGCGCCCGGGCCGAGGGCGTCGCCCGCGGCCGGCGGCGTGGGGACTGGCAGCGCCGGGGCCCCTCCTCGGGCCGAGGGCGCTGCTATACAGGCGGACACTTTGGGCGAAACTTGAAACAGTCCACGAAAATACAAAAAAATCTGCAAGACATCGATCATCACCATCTCCATCACCATCACCATCACCATCGTCACGTCACCACTATCATCATCATCATCATCATCATCATCATCATCATCATCATCATCATCATCATCATCATCATCATCATCATCATCATCCTCATCCTCATCCTCGTCCTCATCCTCATCCTCATCCTCATCCTCATCTTCATCCTCCTCATCCTCATCCTCATCCTCATCCTCATCCTCATCCTCATCCTCCTCATCCTCATCCTCATCCTCATCCTCATCCTCATCCTCATCCTCATCCTCATCCTCATCCTCATCCTCATCCTCATCCTCATCCTCATCCTCATCCTCATCCTTATCCTTATCCTCATCCTCATCCTCATCCTCCTCCTCCTCATCTTCCTCCTCCTCCTCATGGGCCCATGATTGCCCCGGCCAGGATCGGTGCAGTGGCCAGCCAGCGTTCCCCGACTGGAGAGAAGGGGGGAGGTGCGCAGCCTGTCTGGGGGTGGCAGCCGAACGTCGCCTGGCGCTGCAGAGGGGGCGACGAGAGCAGGAGCGCCGCGGCAGGAGCCGGCAGCGACGACCGGGGCGCGAGGGGGCCCCCCCAAAGATCGTCTGGCCACTCCTGCCTCCAGCACGTGCACAGATCTCAGATCCCCTCCACGGCTCGCTCACGTCCCGTGGCTCCTGCCCTCGCCCCCCCCCCTTCCTCGCCTGTCCGCCGCCGCCCGTTGCTCCATCCAGTGAGGGCTGGCACAGGGGGGGGATGCACCGACCTGGAATCGGGGATGCATCGCCGATGGGTCGGCGATAGGCCCCCGGTAGTGAATCCGCACCTGCCTGGGCAGGTTGGGACAATAGGGCCCCCATCGGCGATCCATGGGCGAGTGGGGGTCGAGGCATCCCCCCTTATGCCTATCCCCCTCCTATCGTGGCCCCTGATCCATGCGGGGCCGTCCCTCCGTCCGCGCTCTCGGCCGGCCGAGGAGGATGTCAGGAGAGGGGGCCATCGACACGACGGGGGGCAGATGTGAGCACAGTCGGACTCGATTGGACAGGACTCTCGAGAGGACTCAAGACCCCTCCGAGGGCCACGTTGCCACAGGGCCGACCCTGATTGGGCACCCTGATTGGGCAGGGTCGACCTACCAATCCGGGCCGACTGTGCACACACACACACCTCCCTGCGAACTGCTCCGAGAGGGCAGGGCGACGGCACCTTGAGGCGAGCAGCGGGAGCGGAACGGAGTCCGTGCAGACAGAGGTGATGTGCCATGGCGAGCGTGACGCGCGAAAAGAAACAGTACTTCGACGACAACGCAGACGTGGTGAAAAACCAGCAATGGGTCACATTGTGAGTGGGTCCAGGCGGCATTTTCGCTTGCCGCGCCAAATCCACACCCCAAGCGCTCTCATGCAATGGGCAACTGCCGTCGGCTATTGCCCACCACCAACGGAACTGTGGCTCCGAGATGGTACCAAAAGGCCAGAACATGCGCCCAACAGGGCCTTAGAGTACCCAGCGAAGGTATCAGCTAGTCAGAACCAGGTCCCTGGGTGGCAAAGAGATCTGCAAGAGGTCCCCAGAGAGCCATACCAGGCCCACATGAAATTTTCACAGGAGCGCATGACGTTCCCAGGACTCCAGGATCGCCCCGAGAAGATCCACGATGGCCCCACGAAAGCTTCAAGGGGTCCACAGAAGCCTTCTCACGAGGCTACTACGAGGAAGGAAATCAACACAGCATTGACGTCCGATTTCCAACTGCTTCTTGGCTGCTTCACCAAAGCCAACGAGGTTTTCCGATGTACCATCAAGAGGGCCTCCACTGTTTGCGCATGCGCGCGTGGATCCTGTCCCGCACGTCCAGGTGGCCTGTGATGCATCGCTACTTGCAAATTGTACAATCGGACCTAGGCCAGAAGAGCACCCTTCAAGAACATGAGACCCTCCGTCGGCCAAAACGAACTGAACATCCAAGGATACCCACCCCAGGGTGCACAAGAACATCCAACAAACACGAAGAACATTATGGCACCCTCCCCGAACCGACCTCGATCTTATGCCTCGGTCCGACTGTATCCGCAAGCCTGTCGTGGGGGGGAGCATTCCCATGGGAGGCGGGGGAGATGAAAGGGGGGGCACCCTGCATCATTCACAAACAATACATAAAAACGATTACTGCTAAACCGTCCGCGTTGCTTCTGGCCATTTGGCACGGGATATCCTCAACTTTCTGAGAACTGGGCGCGGTCCTAACGCGACGTGAAATTCAAACAATGGAGTTTCAACGGTTTAACATACGACCGTAACAAACAACACGATGGGTTCTAATGGTTTGCGCATGTCCGTTAGAAAACCATGGGCTGTTCAATAATTCCCTGAGCAAGCATTCGGCAATGTATCGGAAAACCTTCAAAACACAATGGTTTTCACAACGTTGGACACGATACATGTTTCCCTTCTGTTTCCAATGTAACTTTTCCATCGTTGTTATCGACTCCGTGTTTCTCAGCATTTTGTCTAAGCTCAAGCTGTAGCAACCCCAGCGGTGGCTCCCTATTGCGTTTTGTCTGAACCTGGGCACACACGTGTCACTTGTACACACGTGATCCTGGGTCGAGGCGAGGGTTCACACCGCTCCCCACCGATGGGATGGGTCGACAGCCCCAGTCCCCCCCCAGATGGGATAGGGGGCCGACGACGACGGCGACGAAAAACGACGACAACGATGACGATGACGTCTACTTCCATCGACTTCAGGGAACACAAGAAGAACACTGCATGGGCCTGGTGAGCGTGAAGCGGAGGAGGGAGGAGGACATGGCATGTGAACAAAAATGTTCCAATCATGTTCCAGAAGAGCCGCTCCGGAACGTTCTGGCGAAGAATCTGCCCTTATTTCAAAAAAGCAGACTGTATAGTGTGACTGGCGTGTGTAGCTGTTGTACACTTGGAAGAAGGTTCCCGTCGCAGGGTACGATTACCCTTTCTCGCTCACTCGAAGCGCGCCTCGCAGGGGGCTCGACGAGCAACGGCCTGCGCAGCTATCTCACACGCTCGGCCCACTAATACAGTCGGGCTGCTGAAATCAGGAACGCTAAATAAGGCACGAAGACCCTCTGTGCCTTCAAAGAAGCTTGGGTGCACGAGAAGGGCTAGAGGAACAACCATGGCAGGACGTAAGGAACATCGAGCCCCTTCCGAATCCAAACTGCTCCTTATTTCAGCGTCTTGGCTGTAGAGGAACAAAGAGCCACACAAACATAAACTTTTGGAGGTCCACGCGGATTTCTTGGATCCGCGCCAGACCACTTCCCCGCCGAACGGAGCGCGCCGGGAGCGGCGCCAGAGGCGCCGCCAGGGGGGTCCAGTGCGGATCCGAGAAATCCGCGCGGACCTCCGCGTTTTTATGTTTACGTCATTCTTCGTTCCCCTGATAAGAGAAGTCCCATTTCACGTGCCACGTCCTCTTCGGCGTCGGCAGCGAGCATCGCCCCACTGGGCTGGTGTCAAGCATACAGCCGTCGCTGCCTGGCTGCGCCCCTCGGGGGTCCAGCGGGGCGTCGCTTCTCGCTGAGCCGAACGAGTGAATACCTCTCTCCGCCAGGTGCTGACCAACGTGTACAGTCGGACCTAAGCCAGAAGAACATCCCTCGAAAACACGAGACCCTCCGCAGGCCAAAACGCGCAGAACATCCGAGGGTACCCCCCCCAGGGTGCACAAGAACATCCAACAAACACGAAGAACACTAGGGGACCCTCCCCGAACCGACCTCGTCGATCTTATCCTTCGGTCCGACTGTAGCTGTCGTCACGTGACGGGTCCGGCGAAGTGGCGTCATCCGCGGGTCCATGCGAAACCACACTCCTACTTCCCGCTACGCATTTGGCCCCATGAGCGGAAGGAGTCAAACCACTAGCCAAGCACATGGTTACACTTCAACCACAGAAACGTAATGCACGTGGAACCGCCGAATCCATCCAAATGTAACCAGTGGGGCTAGAAATCCTCAACTAAACTACCAGAACTGCTGAAGCCCAGTTCGCACGACAAGCATGTTCAATTTCAACAGGGCTGGACATATAAGCCGAATCGACTCGCTACACCTTGGACACTAACACCATCCAGTCAACACAGTAGGAGCTCGAACACAAGAAACCGTTCACACGAAACCCAGCCCTGAGACCCCAGGACGTCCATTGATTGTTGGGGTGGAAACGTCATGCTTTCCATAGCAAAAGCATCGGAACCCCAGAAACCCAGGGCACCCTGGAGGCAAGCAGGGTGTTTCTTGGCATGGGTTTCAGTGTAGAGCAAACAAGCTGGGCGGTTGGCCTTCATCGCGCCGGCAGAATCTTGTCTCAGCTCTGTGCCCTTAGCGTCAGGACAGGCGTGATATAACAACATGACTCAGGGAACGAATGCTTGACAAGAGCTCGCAATAAAACGAATAATCATCCCTCTCTCTCTCTCTCTCTCCTTCTGTATATTTTGCACAAGCTGTATCCTGCACTTGTATGGTAGTCTTGCTCTGAACTGCTACCTCTTCGACAAAAAGCCCCGACCGATTTCTTGACGCGCGCAGGTGGGGCCTGAAATCCTGATCGAGCCAGGAGCGGGCATCTGGGTGGATGGCACGAAGCCCCAAGGCCGTGCTTGCCCCATCCTCACGTGCTCTCGCCGTTGGCCCAGGCTTCGGCAGAGGTGGCCTTGCCGCTCCGCCGGCCCGCTAAAAGGGGAAGGGTACTGCGCCTCGCCGTTCTTCGCCTTCCGTGTCGTGCGCTTCGGGTGCATCACGGTCGGGGGGCTTGCTCTGCGGGGCGGCCCCCCGCGGACGGGCGGGCTGGGGCTCGCCGTCCAGTGGCGCGGGCTGGCGGCGTGAGGCTGCCGCGCCCCCGCGGACCGACGCTGTGCGTCAGCGGCCGAGCCTCGACTCGCCCGCTGGCGCGCCGAGGGTGGTGCGAGAGTGAACGACACCGCTTGGTGAACGACACCGCCGCTGCCAGACTCGCAGTGATAGTGTGCTGTGCGGGGTCCTCGCCAGCTTGAACACAGGCCCTGACAGAGGCGGCCCTCCCCCGCGCACCCGCACAAGACAGGCTTGACAGGTTGAGCAACCCCAAAGGCTCTTTAACAAACCCCCAGGCAATAATGGGAAAATGAATCATTTGTCCGCCGGCTTGTTGACGGATTGGGACCCCGACAACAGTTGGAAATTAATTATTCTCGTCGGCGGATGCATGAGAGGTCATGAGAAGTGCTCAGAAATCCCATCGCTCAACGCCTGGCGGCCTCCTCCTCCTCCTCCTCCTCCTTCTCCTCCTTCTCCTCCTCCTCCCCCTCCTCCTCCTCCGACACACCACCGCCACCGCTGCTGCGCGCACTGGAACGAGGGGAACCGCAGGAGGAGGACGGAGGGGAAGGAGGAGGGAGGGAAGGAAGAGGGACGAGTTTCTATTCCTCGCCGAGAGCTTCGGGGGGGGTGCATCATTAAAGACACTCTGCGGTTAGGGCTGGGGGTCAGGTCTGCAGAACACCCCAAACGGACGTCAAGGGGAGCAGTCCACCTGTTCTGTCAAGCTGAAGCTGATGCACCAAAGCCGGCGTCAAGCCAACAGTTTGGACATAAACGAATGGCTGGACTTTGGACATCTTCGTCAGCTTAACCGGCGAGGCGTTAGACCGCCTTGACGTTTTTTTCTTTTTTGGTGGTCCTGCAGAGGAGGGCGCTCTCTGACCCTCGGCCCTACTCAACTGTCCCAAATGGCTTTCGGCCGCTCGGAAATGCGCCACCGTGCCTTGTGCACGTTGAGGCGCAGAAGAATACCAAGGGCTGTCTGGTAGGGTTTCTGTATTCCAATACTGCCCCCCCTTCTAGTGTCTCCTTGCATGCACCGCCCCTCCTCCCGAGGCCGCGATCCCTCGTAAACATACAAACATGGATACGCGCTTCCGGAGCCACGATCCCTCGTAAGGAAGAACCGATGGATTCGCGCCCCGAGCTTCCAAGACGGCCAGTTCAGGCAACCCAAGACGCCAAGATGGCCCAAGATGCCTCGAAGACTGCCCAAGATGGCCCCCAAGCGGCCCAAAATGGCCAGAAGACGGCTCGAGATGCTTTCAAGAGGATCCGGAACGGGCCACAAGAGGACCTCCAACAAGGTCCGAAGAGATCAAACTCATCGATTTCCTGTGGTTTGTTGCATGCTTTTCGCATTCTCGCCTTTCGGACTTCCGTCAGCTAACGACGGCCCGCAACGCCTTTACGATAGCCCCACGACGGCGCAAGAAGCCCCCGAGACGATCAGCCGCTGGCCAGGCCGGGTGGCGAGTTCTCCCAGTCGCAGGTAGCTCAGCTCCAGAAGATGATCACGGAGGCGGAGAAGAAGGAAGGCGGCCAGGAGGAGCAGTCTCCGCCCACGCCTCCTGCCCGTCGCGTTCGGGGAAAAGGGGGGGAGCGCCTCATACGCAGTCCAAGATCCAGCGGGCGTTCGTGAAGTCGCTATTCAACTCCAAGCTGGTCATCGAGGAGGGCACCTACGAATTCGAGAGGCACGTCGAGGTCCAGTGGCCAATGAGCGGGGCGGTGGTGGACAGCCTCACGGCCTTCATCAAGCAGCAAGCGCGCACCACGACCGTCCCGAAGTTCAACAAGAATCGCACGGCTCTGCTCTGGCGCCTCCTGGTCAAGATGGACTGAGGCGAGAGCGGGGAGTCTCTGCGGTATGCGGTGGCAGCGTCTCCAGAGTCGGGCAGCTTGGCAATGTATGGGATCATCTTCATTGTCTTGGCCATCTTCGGGGCTGGATTCATTCGCTGCTGCCGATACAGCTGCCGAAACATGGTGGCGGGCCCGCTTCCACAATATTATGGGCGTGCTCAGCAATCTCAGCAATGTATTCGCTTCTGGGGGGCATGCTTGGCTTGCGAAGTGGTCGAGAGCGTCGTCTGCTCGCGGTGGCTCGTAAGTTTTGGCGCCGATGCTGATATTATACATGATGGGCGCGTACGCCCGGGGATGGCGGTTGCGTTTGAAAGCCGTAGTCCTCCTCACCCAACGGGGAGAGCATGCACTCAAACATCTCACCCTGTGTCTGACGTCCAGCGATGTGTGCGAATGATCTGGATATCTGGCCCCTCGTGGAGTTGAATACACCCAGAGAGCCATCATCTTCGTGGAAGCCACCGTAGATTTGCTCGGACAGAGTGAGCCAATGAGTTTGCAAGGGGGCTCTAAGCACTCACGGGTAGCCCTAAATGGTGGCGCCTTTCGCAAGGACTCGGGCTTCAGGGTATTGGAGCCGTGAGGATGAAAACCATAATGTAGCAGCAAGAAAATCATTATTACCATCATCCTCATCATTATCATCAGCATCAGCATCAGCATCAGCATCATCATCAACATCATCATCATCATCATCATCATCATCATCATCATCATCATCATCATCATGGTCATCCTCATCCTCACCCTCACCCTCGCAATCATCATCCGCATCATCATCAGCAGCATCATCAGCATGATCAGCATCACCATCATCAGCAACATCACCCTCTTCCTCATCATCAGCATCATCAGCATGATCATACTCACCATCAGCAGCAACACCATCAACATCAGCTTCACGATCACCATTAAGAGCATCATCACAACCACCACCGACATCATCAACATCAACAGCAACATCGACATCAGCCTCATCAGCATCAGCATCATCGTGTTCATCCTCATCATCATCCCCGTCATCATCATCCTCACCATCATCACCACCACCATCACGATCACCATCGTCATCACCATCATCGTCATCACCATCATCACCATCATCGTCAGCATCACAGTCACCATCACCATCACCATCATCACCATCAGTGTCAGCATCATCATCATCATCATCATCATCCTCATCATCAGCATCACCATCGTCATCATCATCATCATCATCATCATCATCATCCACATCATCATCAATATCAACATCACCATCACCATCGCCGTCATCATTCATCATCATCAACATCATCGTCGTCGTTGTGAACGTGATCGTCATCAACATCACCATCCTCATTCTCATCACGGCTCTCCCACCTTCGAACAATCGCCACCTGGCATGCTGGGCTGGCACGGCGGCGGGACTTGCCGCAGGCAGCCGGACAGGTGGGAGAGGACGGCCAACGAATCTCGATGATGACGTCGACGCCCACGAGCAGGCTTGGAACTCAATCTATCAATCGGCACCAATGGAATTTTCTCCCACTGGACATTTCTCCCAGGGCTGAACCTAAACGTTGTTTTTCGTGTTGTTGTTCGTTTTGCTCTACCTGTTTTCATGTACATTCCCTGCCAAAGGAAAAACACAACACAACCGAAGTCCAACAAAACAGCGTGTATGTCCCGTCCCGCCCTGATATCTCCACCGTAACCCAAACCAACTCTTCCTCGTCGTCCCCCGGCCGATGAGCTCGCCTCCCTGGACCGCAAGCTCCAGGTACCGTCCTCCGCCATGCTACGGTGGGCCGAGATGGCGGGGATGGGGCACGAGGAGGGGCGGGAGAGAGAATTTAGGTTAGGGGAAAAGGCTCGCACGTCTGACAAAAAACGGCACTGGTGCTGGAGCCCATCAGAAAGAGTTTTGCTTGTCACCGTAGCGGGGATGTGAACTCTATCAGGGCCAAGACAGGGTGCCACCCCCGAAGCCATGAGCCTTCCTCTGATTTGGCTTCTCTGGTCCTCACCCTCTTGCGGATTGCAGCAACCCTTGGCTCAGACAAGGGCACTGCACTCTCCCCACATAACACCGACGGAACAACAGTTCGAGTGAGGATCTAGCTTCTGGCCTTCGGGATACACGCAAGGTTCTGACATAATCATAAGCTCGATAAAGTGCCTGACCCGTCTGCTCGGTCCGAGGCCGTTGCGGTACTTGCGGGTCCCGCTCGAAACAGTTCGTCGGCAGTCAGATCGAAGACGGGTCCAGCGAGATTCCTGGCGCACCGTTGGACCCAACAACCACAGCGAACACGCAACAGCTGCAAGCGGATTCGCTTGGGCTGAGTTCGCCCTAGAGTTCTGGGATGGACCTCGTGATAAGCGATTCCGACGAGCAAGCAACCCTGCTGGCGACGGACGAGACTCGCGGCGAACTCGGGGGCCCCCAAGCATCATAGGGCATCTTGGCGCCCACCCTCATGGGCAATCATCACACAAAGCTTGCGCTGCAATCCTAGGTGGTCTTCTGCCCACTCGTGCCACCCTGAGGAAGAACGGGATGACCAGACTCGGCCGAAAGGTGGCCCACGCTAACCACGGGACTGGTGCAGGGGGGGATCACGGCAGCGAGCTTACCACAGTTAAATATGCCGACCCCTGCTTGCAGGGAGTGCAAAGGCGTATGGGATGATTGGCTGTCCCCCATCCACCTTTCCCCCTCCCTCGTGGGTCTGCCATGACATCCGATTAGAGGGGGCGAGCGGTGAGGCAACGCACCCTTGGAGCCTCAGGAACCTTCAAATCCACACTTCGTGGCCTCCACAATGCCGTATGCCCCCAAAGTGCCTCGACAATTCGCAACGCCGTAGCCCAAGTTGCTCGACGCGCGAGCGGATGACCTCTGCCGCGCCGCGACGGAAAAACTTCTGGATGCCCAAGATGTCCTCTAAGCTGGCGTGAGTTGTGCTCCAACACGCCGAAGAGGCCTCAAACACAACCAAGAGTACTTGAACAACTACCACTTGCCAAAAGGCTTCCAAGGCGACACCCAGGAGGGCCCAAAGAAGCATGAGTCGTTCCAGCCCCTTGAGAAGATGTATACTTGCAGCTTGTTCACATTGCGCATCTCAATAAAATCCTATGGGCCCCGAGAGGCCCCAAAGATCGCTCTAAGAGGGGCCCCAGACGGCCGAACGCGGTCCCAAGACGGCCCAAGGAGCGCCCAAGAGGGCCCCCGAGGGCCCCGAAACAGGGCCCCAAGAGAGGCACTCCGAACTGGCATGCCGAGCCCTCCGCCCCAAGAGGACCCTCGAGACCTTCCAAGAAACTCCCAAGAGGCAGAAAAAGGCCCCCAAGAGGCCCAAAAGAGGGCCCAACACGGCCCCACCCGTGGACGTTGTCCCCCTTTCTGGGAGCTGGCGGAACGGCGTAAACCTATTGGATGATAAACACCGCGCGGAGCGCAGCACCTGGCCGAAACGCAACCGCACAATGCATTTCGGCATGGGGTCTCCTGGCGTCATCCGCACGAGAGCCAGAAGCACGGTGGCCCTTCGCGTGAGCTCGCCCTTCCGGCGCAAGGGCATCAATCGTGTCCATACTCCTGTGGGCCTTCGCATGCTGGATCGGACCCAACGTAGCGAAGAACCTGACGAGGAACGAGCACAGGCCAACAATCCCACATGCACTCCACTGGTACGATGCTGTTCGCGCCCCGGGAGGAACGCGTGAACCATGGCAATTTTGCCCTCCGCGTGTGCACGCGATGTTCTGTCGGCAATATGAAAAAAAAAAAAAAACACAAGCGGCGAGGGAACCTCTGCCATGGCTGGTGACTGCGGGGAACTGCCAACCACGGAGTCACGAGCTACAGACCGGGCGCCCTCGGATTGGGGCTCGAACAGGACGACAGAATACGCGCGCGGCGCTGGAACCAGGTCACGCGACCTGCGACCACCGACCGCCGCCATGCATGTGTAAATTCGAACTACTACCCGCCAGCCGAATGGCCCCTTCGGGCTGCGGGGGCCAAAGCTGCTGGGGCAGCGGCTCCTTGGGGGGACGACGTCATATCTCGTGCGGGCGATCTCTTGGTGACGAGAACGAAGCAGGATTGGTCGCCGCACTCTCAGAGCGAATGGCGCGCACCTCGGTCTCAGTCCTGGTCTGGACAACTGCGGGGAAGGATCGAATGCGGGGCCCGCGGCGCGCGGCGCCAGGCCGGCCGCGCTCGCGCAGGCCAGCTCTGGTGGCATGGCGCCCCTTCTCGTCGGCCACTGGCTGCGTCCGCGTGCGCCCGCGCGCGTGAGGTGTTGCGGGTGGCATCGGCAAGAACTGCGCGCGCTGGACGGCAGCGTCGCCGCGCGCAGCGGCGCAGCGGCGGGCGCGGGCGCCCGCCGAGGGCGGGCAGGGCAAGGCGGCCGCTGGTGATCGGGCCGCGGGCGCGAGCCCGCGAGGCCCCCGTAAGCACCCTGGGAAAGCGCGGTTCCGCGCGCTCGCGAAAGCTGGGAGGCGCGCAGGCGGCGCGCCAGGAAAAGAGACAGCCTGTCTCACCCTCCTGCACCTCTGGGGAGCTGGCGCCAGGGCCTCGCGCGCGGCGGGGCCGACGCGCAGTCTGGCCCTTGCACGGGCCCCGCGCGTGGCTGGCGACTGGGAAGGGCCGCCAACTCATGGCCGTCGGCCCCCTTGACCTCGACGCCATAGTAGTCAGACATCGTGATGCCCGTTGTATGCACTCGGCCCAGGTTTGGCCACTGGGAACAGATGTTGTCGGGCCTCGCGAAATCAGACGCGCTTCTCAGCTCGGCCCCCCCCTCGCGCGCCACTGCGAGTCGCCGAGCAATCCGCTCCAATGTTCGGAGCAACAAGCTCTGCTGTCTCCTTGGCTTATCCTATCTTGTCTGCCACCTCCTGCGCGAACTTGGGATCGTTCGCCGCCGCGGCTACCTTGCTCCAAATGTCGCAATAGAAGGGGGCGGTCACAACCCTCCCGGACGAGAGGTTAAGGCCCCCCCCCAGACCAGCCACGAAAGGGTGGCCTTTTGCCCGGACCCCCCCAGAACCTTCGAAAACAGCTCGAATTAGACCCCCCGTCAAATGTGACCCTCACCCCCGCGCTTCATTATGGAATCCGGTGCATGATTGAGTGTCGCCCGCAGACTCTGGGGCACCGCTGGGAAACTGAAACCTGCCTGCGCTGCCGCGCCAGCAACGATCTCGCAACCCTCATGAAATTCACCGCAAGTTTCTGCGCCGCGGGAGGTCGCACTCCGTGATCGCGAAAGCGCGCGCCGCCGCGTCGGCGAAGGCGCGCCCAGCAGGAAGGTCCAGGGCAGCTAGCAGAGCCTGTCAACTGTGGTGTACCCCAAGACGCATGATCCCAGCGACTGCCGCGCTTCGAATGCCATCTTCTTCGCCGCCATCAGCATCCCGAAACCGAGCATGCGATCCCGCAGCACCTTCAGCAAGATCCCCTCTCAGAACCTGTTGTAGCCCATGGTGAGGCAGAGGCGGTAACGGCGATGACTCACTGGCGCCAAACTGCGGGACACCTGAGGCCAAGACAGGTCGAGCGCGCTGCGCCTGACCACGACGCCCCGAAGGGCTGGCAGAGCTGGGCATGCATCGCGCCGATGCCGCGGCGGCGCAGACGTTGCCAGACCCTGCGCAGACAAGGGTCCAAGATGATAAGGCGATAGCCTTGGCCGGGCTTGGCAAGCGTCGGCATCGCAATGAAGCGCTCCTGGCGCGGCAACAAGCCCGGCCGCCCACGCGCCTCAAAGATGGCGGGCATGGCCGAATGATCGCGCTCAAGGAGGAGGCCAGAGTGCCGTGGATGCACTTTGTAGAGGCTCGGCGACGCGGCGCGGGGAAATAGCGACATCTCGAACTGTCTGTGCTGAAGCTCGCAGCATAGCAAGCCGTTCAGGTTCAGGCATCCGCGCCCGGCTCGGGCCTTGACTGCTCCATCGCGCACTTGCGAAACCCAACGTCAACTATGTCATGAAGGCGGGTAGGCAAAACATCTTAAACTCGGACAATTGTGGGGTGAAAGGCATCGAAAACCCGTGTAACACGGTGACAGCCACCTCCTCCACTCGCTGCAGCCGCGTTGCATCAATCTTGCTTGCCACCGCTCACGACCATCCTTACCTTAATATTGCTCACTGCCCCTGACATCATGAGCTGTGACATCAAGATTCAGCTGCCATCTGACCGTCGCTGTGCAGCCGAGGGACAACCTCAATCCTTGGATCGGCCTGGCCGTCAACGTCACTGCCCATCCCGCGGCGGCGCCCTCCTACAGTCTGCGCAGGTTCGTGGGGAGTGTGTGAATCGCCGTTGTTTCCTAAGTACCGCCCATGTGATATTAATTATCCTGCGCAAGTGTACCTCTCGAGCCCTTCAGCAAAACATGGACTCGAGGCTGTGCGTACTGCTCGACGGCGGCGCTCTCGATAGCAAGGTCGGAGGAACGATCTCCTCACTGCGCGCAGCGCGGTGACCTGCAACATCCTTTCACTCGTAGTTCTGCAGCCTCAGCTGCCCCAGGCGGCTGGTGCGCCGTCGAGCAGTGAACGGTGCTGAGGTCGTGGATGTTGGCGAATATCGCGTGAGCGCAGGGGCGCCACCGTCGACGACGCTGGCGTCGATGGACTGATCTGGGTCCGCGAAAGGGGTCGCCCGCAGGGTCGTCCATGCCCTGGGGCGGCTACGGCGTCGTCATGGCATTGGCGAGGAGCTGTACCAAAGTCGCGGAGGACCCACCAACCACGGGCAATTGCCTTCACACCAGAC